ATTATCCTCCCATCTACGTCTAGGTCTCCCCAGAGGTCTCTTCCCCTCAGGCTTCCCAAATAGTGGACCCAACCAACTAGATGGCTTACGGAACCCGAAGGTTCATCACCGAATTAACCAAAGCCCTCCACCGGACCCTGTCCTGGGCCAACAAAATCCAGTCCCCTTCAGCTCCTATCTCCCATAGATCCCGCCTGAGATTATCCTCCCATCTACGTCTAGGTCTCCCCAGCGGTCTCTTCCCCTCAGGCTTCCCGACCACACCTCTTGTCCCATCCAGAAGTCAACATACATCTGAATTATTTCAGTTTTGAATACTTGCAATAATTTCATGGTACCTAAGAATCACCGATAATATGACAGTAACAAATGAAGTGTGACAATGCATCCTGCGGCAGTGCTGCTAGTACGTCACTGATGTCACCCACTACAGTGGCGAGACAGAAAAGCCAGAGAGCCTGCACAACCAACAAAGAGTTACAGGCCACTGTAGTTAAAGCCTGTGAATCCATAAGCCAACATATGTTACACGTGAGGACTCGAAGGACCTGGCAATGCATTCAGCTGTGCAACACTTGAAAGGGCTCACAAAGATCTCGGGATCTATTACTGCATTTGGGCCACAGCAGATAATACAAATGACATACTAGCAGCACTGGCACAGGCAGTGTTGCCACTCATCAATGGCACCACACAAATGCCATGCGATGCTGCTGTCACAGATCTGTACGTAGGCGCCATGAAATTATTGCAAGTATTCAAAACTGAAATAACACAGATGCAGGGTCACTTCTCAAACATTCTCGTATGTATATGGTTTGGTAGATATTTAGATTTCGGTGCGGTTAACTGAGTCAGTGTATCATTCTACAAAAATATTTGTCCTTCCCTGACCTATCACCATCAGAAACATTCATGTTTTAAAGAGATTTTTAGTGATATTTGTTAAATTATGGACCAAATTCTTTGTACTTTGACTAATGTTTTTAAATTTCTTACATACTTTGCTCATATTATCAAAGTCTGGAAATAAAGGGATACTGGGTATCCATGAGTTGATTGCAAGATAGTACTGAAAAGGATAAAATGTACACCACTAAAATGTACCTAAATACGAACACATCTTTTAGAGGTTACTTAAATTATAAGTTAAATCACAATTAACATATTTGCTTTTGTCTGTGGATTTCATTTATCATTATAATACATTTATGTTAAAACTGAATGATCTGTGAAACCTAATTAATATTTTAAACTGTACTCAACTGTATGTTTGTACTTAATACTTATTATATCTTAAATTCAGTGTGACAAACTTTTTGCTGTTTATGAAACATTCTTCAATTTTGTTACAAACATAATAAAAATAAAATTGTACTTAAGCCGTGAAATAAAATAAATCGTTATTTCCTATTTTACAAAATCTCTCCAGAACAAAGAGCTGACACATACACAAATATACAAGTATATGTGTGCACGTGCTCGCTCAATCTCTCATGTTAATTTAGCCACCAAATGGCTGGCTCATCTTATAGATGTAAAGTATCTGAATTAGGTTAGTAGACTGAAGTGTATTAAATTATCTGTCACATGAAGCATAATTTACCTGCCGCATATGTATGTAGTCCCCACTTAATGGTACCTGCACCTTGTGGTGGTGGGG